AGACTATGTGTCAAAACAAAGTATCGAGGGAGAGAATATCACTGAAGTCTGTAGTTATAAAAGGACCTCATATTGACCTATAGCTTGATAATAAAACCCTTTGAGTTCTATTTTATCATTATGTCTATCTTTTAGCTTGAGGTTTGTTATTTATTTTTTCCATAAGATCATTTTGTATTAACCGGATATATAGATGTGTGACTTACTTGCCAGTTTGACCTTTATTATTCACTCACTCACCTTTGACATTACATATATACTTACCTCTTAGTGGCGTGTAGCTACTTGTTCTAGTCTTGATATTTATCCAATGAATACTTTCACAACAATATATTTACCGATACAAGAATTATGCTCCAGACAACGTCAAGTTTAGACACCTGCACACTTGCACGTACTAATATAAACCCGCCTTTTTTCACGAGCATCTCCAAATACTACAGTGCATATAGGTACCACCAATGACAGTGGTAATAATGACGCTGGTTAAAAACAATGACAACAACGAGTGGCAACTAGGACAATGACAACTACGATAGTGGTAACAAGGACAGCAGTACAAATCAACAGTAATGATATCTTTAACAACAAAGTCAATATATTACACGAGGAAATTTTCTTAGTGAAGCTGTAAGATCACGCTGTTACCACCTGCCGCCGTGGCTGGTGGTGGTTGAAACGTTACCAGATAAGTCCAAGGCAACGAAGCATAAGAGTGTCAGGTGGAGGGATGGCTCGACACATTAAAAAGAGACAAATAATAAAACAACACATAATTAACTATCAACAACAATCACGAATGAAAAAATGAATGAAGTGAAGGCAATACCAGGTAAGTCAAGGCAGGCCAAGCTGTCACCACTACACGAAGGAAACTTGAGATTATGTCAGTGTTGTGCTCCGACCACTTTGTTAAGTGTCTCACCAGTGTGTTAAGTCTAAGTATAAAACTCCTAAGTTTACAGTCTTGGGTAACAAGGAGGACATTTTCCACTCTGGTGAGCTTCACTTTATCCATCTAGTACAATCGCACATCTCACCGTTGAACAAAATTAAATTAATTAAAGGAAAATAAACTACAATAAACAAACAATTATGCCAACAGATGATGCTTCCCGCGTAGTAGAAAGTAACAGTGATGATGTGTATGTGTCACTAGGAGCGGTGAGAGGTTTGGTATTTACCTCATCAACCTTCACAGCCAGGATTTAATTAAAGTCACTATGTCAGAAAACACCCCCCCCCCTCCCCCGAAAAAAGGCAGTGTCATTGTGTCTGTCAATTTCATGAGCTGTGAATTCCTAAAATGGTAGAACGCTGAGTAAAAGTACAGTTCCACATCTTCTCCCAGTACTTCTTCACCACATCCCACACTGCTCTCCCAAGGTCATCATCTCCCTGTCCCGTGTTGCTTTTTATCAACTTGCCAGTCCCACCAATTATATTTGCCCTGTTACTGGGTCTTACAAGTTTTGAAAATGCTGACACGCCAAGTACCGCATCATCACACCCATGTCACTACTTGACTGTGACCAGACTAAGGTGTGTGTGCTACAGCGGTCCTCACTTCCTGCTGTATTGAGCCTGTCAGTACGTAAAGTGCAGTATATAGTTACATCTCTGGCTACATGGTGGCCGTGTAAACAGTTTCTATATCTGCACCATCTATATAAATTGTTTCTTTACATGCTCACTTCTTGTCTTACCCATAACTCACACTACCTACCTCCTGCTTTACCCACCAATCCACATTGCCCATCTGCCCTACCCACCAACCCACTTTGCCCATCTCCTGCCCTACCCACCAACCCCCTTTGCTCATCTCCTGCCCTATCCACCAGCCCACCTTCTGCCCTACCCACACTGCCCAACTGCCCTACCCACCAGCCCACATTGCCCATCTCCTGCCCTATCAACCAGCCCACCTTCTGCCCAACTGCCCTACCCACCAGCCCACATTGCCCATCTCCTGCCTATCCACCAGCCCACCTTCTGCCCAACTGCCCTACCCACACTGCCCTACCCACCAGCCCACATTGCCCATCTCCTGCCCTATCCACCAGACCACACTACCCACCTTCTGCCCTACCCACACTGCCCTACCCACCAGCCCACATTGCCCATCTCCTGCCCTATCCACCAGCCCACCTTCTACCCTACCCACAATGCCCAACTGCCCTACCCACCAGCCCACAATGCCCATCTCCTGCCCTATCCACCAGCCCACACTGCCCACCTTCTGCCCTACCCACCAACGCACACTGCCCACCTTCTGCTCTACCCACCAGCCCACATTGCCCATCCTCCGTCTTATCACTCAACCCACACTGTCCACCTGGAAGTGTTCATTATTTACATTTACTTTTATTGCTTACTATTAATAATTAATAACCAAGCCCAAGAAAATGACCCTATGGATATAAGCATCTGATGGCTGTGTTGGTTATCCTTGGTCGAAATGCTTTACTGTTTACCATTGTCTGTATAGTACAGTACGTACAGGGTACCTGCACACTTCAGGTACACTGAAAATTGTATACCTATAGTGTCTATATAAATGGTGAACCAACTATTAACTTGTAAGACAATTTTACTGAATAAACACCTATTCACCTATCTCTTCCACTTACCGACCTATTTCCCTCTCTTCTACCTACCTATTTATCTCTCTCTCTTCTATCTACTTATCTCTCTCAATCTCTCTTAAGTCTGTGAACTTCAGCTGTGGTTCTATTGTAATGGTATCTTTCACCTGTGACCAATCTCCGAGTTTGGTTCTGGGTGTTACTCGGGGTGTGTAGAGGTAATGTACTGTTGGTTAAGTTAGTTTCCCCAAGATGGTGCTGTCACTGGCTCGGGGAGAAGGAGGTGGGAGAGGGCATAGAAAGGAGAGGTCAAGGGGTATGGTGGGATGGAGGGAGAGTGGGCCAACAGGTTCCCAGATCAACTTACACATGCCTGATGTGGTGTCATGTTGTGGGAGTGTTGGCTGGCTCCCACACTCCCTCCCTCTTGTCTTCACCCACCACTCACTCATATTTCTTCAATTTGCACAGGATTTTACCAAACATCAATGTCAACCATATTGCGGAGGATACTTTACAGTGACAGAGTCAACGGCAAACTATATAATTATATTGTCAAGTGCAACTGCTAAATACTTACTAACTGAAAGTTTAATATTTATCATCACATTACAGGAAAATGAATTAAGGATTAAACAATCTTATTGATAGCTTTCTTGGCTATCCATGGTTGAATTGCCTAACTGTTTACCATTGTATGTACAGTATGCCTGCATTGTCTAGGTATAGAACACTGTATATATACCTGCACAATTTATGTACACTATTTGTATACCTGCATGGTCTAGATACACGGTTTGTATACCAATATACATTGTATAACTGAAGTGTCTATATGCATGCTGAACTGTATACTGCATTGTTAATACATATACTGAATCAATTGTAAGCTTATATGCCAAATCTACTGCAAATCTATGTACCTATCTATTTATCTGGACGTTTGTGAGTAGCCTCCTTCAACTGGAGTTTTGAGCATTAAGAGGTGTGATCCCCTGCGATGATAAGAGTAGGTAGTAATGTCACTCTCTGGTCACCTGAGAGTGAAATGTTCAACTTCTTCAGGTTCACTGTAATATGAGCAGTTTGGTGGTGAGGCAACACCCAGACAGTTCAGTAACTCACTAATTATTTTTTATTTCACACTTCCTCACTCATCAGCTTACTAGCAGCCTGGGCAGTAGGTCTGTTCTTTGTTAATTTGTTAAGACCTTTATTGTCCAGTGTTAGTACAGGAAGAACCCAGAGTACCCCTGTACATACCCAGATGAAACCTGCCATGTTTGCTAAGGTCACACTGCATAATACCCTTCCCATATCTGACCCAGGCCAGGGATTGAACCCAGGACAAATAATTAAGGGATGGATCATTATAAACATTCCCCCCTGAACATTTGTTAAGTCTCTTCCATTCATTGTTCCTACCTTTTACACATTCCCACCTGCTTTTTCTCTCTCCAGACATTCAATATTTTACCAAACTATAGTTCCCAGCTCACCATTTAATACTTTCATTTCTAATTCAGGTTCTTTTTGAGTGTCTTGCCAAGTACATACAGTATAAAACTTTCCTCTTGGTAACTAAAATAATAATTCTTACCACTTTGTTCTATTCTTCTGCCTTTCTAGTCAACATGTAACATTCAACACTCTTACTCAACTTGTCTTCTGTAATTGGGATAAAAACTAATCTATTACTGCAATACATAATAAAAAGGAATTAATAGCAAAGATGATGATGACGATAATAATACTGTAATAATAATAACAATAAATACAGTAAAGTCAGAGTAAATGTCATCAAATTACCAGTAAGTAAAAATAATTAAATAAATAAAGCTTATCTACAGTCTTTTCTTCAAACAATATGTGTCACATTAATGGTATGAAAAAAATCTGCAGCCTAACATTAGTGATACTGTACTGAAGTTTGTGGGTGCCCCCGCCTGCCCACCTGTTATAAGCTGTACCAAGGGTGTGGCCAGGATTTGGTAAGGCATAGTTTCCTTGGCAACAGGTGGAATCATTGTGTTGAATTGTATTTCTCCATTAATCACCATTATACATTAGGATAAAGGTTGTTTAAAACTAATCTACAGTAATAATAATAATAATGAAGATGGCAGAGAAATTAATATGAGATGAATGTGTCAGAAATACAAGCGTTATCAATTATTCTTTTGTATGTACTGTATATAGCAACTGCCTTTCCATTGTTAATATTACACTAAAATTTTCCTGCAGAGTTAATCTACCATCTCTCTTGATTTGTTATGATTCTCTCACCTGCATAAAAAAAAGCACCATTTTAATTTTCATACATGAGACACCCTGTACTGTATATCGGTAACATAATATACTTCTCATACCTAAGGCATTTATAAGAGATTAATATACAACTAGCTAAGTACTCACCTCATAAGACCAGGTACACGGGACTCTTGCATATTTTCTCACACAACGACCTATTTCAACATCTTCGTGGGTTGATCGCAAGTTTTTGAGGCAATCTCGAACATGAGGAGCAACTTGTAATAAAGTGCTACGACTCATGATGACACCTGGACCTCCCATGCAGAAATTTTCATCATTTTTTAAGGCAAGATGACCAAATTCCTCCTGGTTGCCTTTACCAGCTTGACCAATGAAGTGAGCCTTGGTGCTATTCACTGATCGCAAGAAAAGTTCTAATTTCTCTGGTCGAACATAAATATCATCATCAGCACGCATAAAGAATTCAAAGTGTTCTGAAAAGTGTTCTGCCATATATTTAATCATCATAAAAGACTTCTTCTGAGGTGGATAAGAATCATCAACACCTCTTAACCTGATTAGGGGAATATCAACATCAGTTGTTGATGCCTCAGAGGAAAAAAAGGCAATTTTTCCTGGCAGTTGTTTGCCCCAGGTTTCATACACAGCTTTAGCACGACTATCTAGGTACTTGTTGGCCGTCATAACACCAACGAAGAGTAAATTTTTAGGATTATTATGAACATCTGTATTCTTATCAAGTCCTATTGTTCTAAAAGCATCGTTCATATCATCGTAGATAGGCAAATTTCTCACTGATATACACAGGTGTGGCTGAAGCATCAAGTGTCTGATAGATGCCGTTAGTATAACCCCTAAAACTATTCCCGTAGTAACACCGAGTAATTGACCGAGAGTTCCGTGTCTTCCGTGTGATCCCGAATTACCGCTCAGAGCTCGTACTGTCAGTCTCATCTTTAAAGGTCGGGGAACAAGCTCAATGCCTACTGGAGGTGCCCGGTACTGGTATGGGTTCATCGTCTCTGGAAATAAGAAAAAAGAAATAATATTATTCAAGAAATATGTCAACTTAATATTGTAACAAGAAATGGTAATACAAAACTATGTTGTTGACATGTTTGTTTTGTTAAACTCTGATAAATGATGGGTATTTACACTTCAAAGATAGTCTATGTTTATTAAAGGAGACAAATTAACCTTTCTTACAAACATTCACCTACAGATGTTTACTAAAGTCACAATGCTACTGTCCACAGTATTGCTGCAACTGACATTAACACCTTACATGACTACTCTACTTTCACTATCAGACTGTTCAAAATAAATTTGTCTTGTTAACACAAATATTAATGTGGTGGCTACAGTGTACAGTGCCTGGGGTTACCACTTTCAGATCCTTCTCTTATATCACTTGATGAACACTGATAATGACTCCCTGATCCCTCATAAAATAATCAGGCATGTTATTCCCTTTTCCAACAAGTACAACTCACAGGCCATGCAAGGTACTCAGCATGGTGAATTAAAAGACAAAAATAAATTTACTGTATAATGTATGCCATATCAACAAAAGAAAAATGCACTTTATTAAAATCAGTTATATTGTACAAGTTAATCTAAGCATGGTGCTGTGAGGTGGCTGCAGACAGACAGGAGCTGGGATGACTTGTCTTTATTAATATATTGGTCTCATGTTCTTCAAAAGTTTCTTTTAGTTGTGGTTTAGCTTAAGCTTTCACACTAATTGGACTTGTAGGGGTACCAGTGAGGCCTATGTGTGTAATAAGGTTGTTCATTCGCACAGCCATGAGTGTTAATTATTTCATGCCATCCCAGAGCCTCTACATCATAATGATACATTAGTGATGAATGTAACCCTGACATCCCCCAATGATTTGTTTTCATGTTTTCAATGTCAGCAAGAAAAGAACCATTCATTAGCTTGTATGGCCACTCACATAGATGACCACAATGACTTGCACAATTACAATTGTTAATATTATTATGTGTACACTGGTAGTTTTGGCAGTACTGTATGGCACTTAGGCCACAAGGTGTTGGCCGTTAGATAGCCTTGATGGCCTAAACGTCTCATGGCATAAACGACCAGTTCCCTCAGGAACATGGTCCTGGGAAGACAGTGTACAGTACTGTATTTATTCATAACAAGAACTAATGTAAAACAAAATTACAAGAATAACAACTCTTCCACCAGTTTTGGGATACAGTATTATTGGGGTACAAATCAAGTTATCTTTGGTAATAGTGGAGCAGACTGTTATCACCTGAAGTAGTTTATAGAATTGGTAATATTTTCCAGAGATGATGTTTGGATGATAGTAAGTAATAAAAACGAAACCAACTTTTTCATAAAATTTTAAGTATTTTTCTTAATTTCCTCCACCCTTTGTTCATAAATCACCTGTAGTGGGCAGGATGTGAAAGAAGAAAGAAATTAAGAGTAAAATATGGCAAAAACTGATCATATGGCAGTAATAAAACGTCTCTTTAAGTGATATGTAAGGCGAAATTTCTCAATATTTGCCATAAACATAGCGGCATCAATTCTCCTTTGACGACCATCGTCCTGGTCCACTCTTAAGATATAAAGGAGTGAATCCGGTTTTATCAACATGTACAAGATAGAATCAGCATCATATGGTTCAGATTAAATTCCTAATAGGGGTTTAGATGCCTTATGTTTTAATTTGGAGTTGCATTGGACTCGAAGTCATCTGTACTGTATGTTCCTATTGTCATTATTCACCAATAAGGACATGTATTGCTTCATGAACACAACTATGGCATTGTCTACTGGAAACTCCTTTAGTTATCACAAGCCATCTATGTTGGCTGAGGATGAAGACCATGTTAAAGACTTTACTTTTCACCATGGACTTGTTGGAAGAACATAAGAGTCCAAAATGCAGTAGGGAAGTGACATACAGCTGACATTAGTTGTTTCAGTGGAACAAGCGACTTCATTAATAAGGAAAGTTTCTTCTGCTGTTAAGGGGTCAAGGGTGAATTAGCAACTTAATATGGCTAAACAACTTGATATGGCAGGTAGTCGGGGCTCTGCCCACAGGTTAGGTTAGGTATGGTATGGTATGGTTAGGTTAGGTTAGGTTGGGTTAAGTTCTGTGCATTGTATCATTTTTCTTAATACCATGCAAGTAACATCTCTAGAAATTTAATTAAATTCCATAAGTTTTTTCTGGCGATAACCATTTCTTCCACCTCTACCTTATCTACTGTATAATAGACAAAATTTCTAAAATTGCTGGTTAAAGAGCCTCTATATAAACCATAGCCTATTTGCTGCAGCTTAATTTTATATCTAAGCTCGTGTTTTCTAGAATTTGCTTTCTTCAAACTAGAAAAAATGGTTTAAGACTGGTATGTCGTCAATAATTACAGAAAAATTAATCAATTAAAATCCCAAAGACAACAAAACACCATAACACAAGGCCCCACAGGGCGCCACTGTCCCATTCACTTTTAAAGGTAATATCAGCAATCATCGTTGACAACTGAGACAAACTTAATTTACGACTTACGTTCATCAGGAACCCAATTCATTATCTAGTTCTGCATAATAATCCACAATACAACGCCATGACAACGGTGTGTGCACTGTAGTTCACGACTGTCTCTTCTTGACTCAGTGGGGCTTTAAGTTCTTGTTTACTCAACTGTGAGGACGACCACCAGAGTGCACCAGTCAACACCGCTCTCCATTTTCTTTACTCAGGAGCGCCATATTCAAGTTGGTTTTATTTTACTTTTATCCTCGACGCTACTGATCGGCCTGTTAGCCGTTTGGGCGGTCAGTCACGTCTCTTACATATAAAAAGCTAACAAACAAAAACAAATACTGCTTGCGGCCACAAGGAAAGTCTCCGGTCGACGCATGAAAACTCCCCTGAATCCTTTTCTTTTTACTTTTACTTTTATCCTCTTCACCACTGATCAGCTCGTTAGCCGCTTGGGTGATCGGTCACGTCTCTGTTACGCACTGTTGTCAAGTACTGGGCATGCACTGGCTCCTGAATGTACCTGAACCTGCTCCAGTGTTGGTCAAGTCTGGTCTTGAAAGAGCTCACACTCGGTGCCGTCACCACACTGGCAGATTGTTCCTCGAGTTCACAACTCTCACTCCGAAAAAGTTACCCCTCACAGTTCTCCGGACTTTTTACGGGGATTAGCCCACCCGGGCACAGGTCACTGACCCACAACGGGGCCTGGGGAATATAATAATAATAATAATAATAATAATAATAATAATAATAATAATAATAATAATAATAATAATAATAATAATAATAATAATAATAATAATAATAATAATAATAATAATAATAATAATAATAATAATAATAATAATAATAATAATAATAATAATAATAATAATAATAATAATAATAATAATAATAATAATAATAATAATAATAATAATAATAATAATAATAATAATAATAATAATAATAATAATTAATAAATAATAAATAATAAATAATGAATAATAAATAATAATTAATAATTAATAATTAATAAATAATAATTAATAATTAATAATTAATAAATAATAATTAATAAATAATAATTAATAGAAATAGAAATAGAAATGGAAATGAAAATGATAATGATGATGATGATGATGAAATACAAAATTGAAAAAAAGATCAAAAGTGAGAAACAATATATGTATGTTGTGTTGTCAATAGTATGAGAAACAATTGAGAACCTGCAATTGTGTGTAAATGAGGCAGAAAGTCAGATCAGCAACCTGGGTCTTGGTCACAATTTTAGCAATGTCATGTGGCAGCAGGGTCTACCATTTGACAATACATTATGCTTCCAATATCTTTCCAGGCGGTAGTACCTCCCTGTTTGGTATCTGGCTAATACCTACTACATTTAACCTTGAGCTGTGTCCCCTTGTGGGACGAGCGTCCGCCAGCTCCAGGTAAGGACACTCGACTGAGTAGTGCCCTCTGAGATGCTTGTACACCTCAATCAGATCTCCCCTTGCCCAATCTCTCCGGGTAACTGAGGTGCCGCAGTGTAGGTACCAATCTGGTGGCCCTCCTTTGGACATTTTCAATCAGCTGACAGTCCCTAGCATATCTCGGGGACCAGACGGGATGACAGCACTCCAGGCGGGGAAGCACTTCACTCTTGAAGATCGTTACGAGGGACGGACCATCTAAATATCTGGACGACCTTCTTATAAGACTTAATAACTTAGTTGCCTGGTCTACCTTCTTCTCACACTGGCCCGAGAACTTCAGCTCATTGTCAACGTACACACCTAGGTCCTTTCAACACTGTCTCATTTAATGCAGTCTCTTCGTCCCGTTGGGACATATGATACGCCCCCTTACCGTTGGTACGTCCCAGGTGCAGCCTCTTACACTTCGTGACATTGAATCTCAGCAGCCATTTCTTCGACCATTCTTGAAGCTCACAGAGATCCTTCTGCAGCTCTTCACAGTCCGCTTGGTTCTTAATTTCCCGAAATAACTTGGCGTCGTCCGCAAACATTTGTATGGAGGAATGTACAGCTTCAGGCATGTCATTTATGAAGCAAACAAACAGCAGCGGACCCAATACACTGCCCTGTGGTACCCCGCTTGTTATGGATTCAGATGATTATTTCGTGCCATTAACCACCACACACTGCTTGCGGTCATGTAGAAAGTCCTCTACCCACGCCAAGATATTTCCCCGAATCCCGCACCCTTCCAGTTTAATTTTCAGCCTTTCATGGGGTACGCATTGTCAAAAGCCTTGGCAAAATCTAGGTAAATATTGTCGATATTACCACCCTGATCCAGAATTTGGGTAGGTTTAACTTTTAGTGTTTCATGGAGGTGCGCTGTCGAGAGTTAGTGCCCACTTTCATATATATTAAGGTTAATATCTACACGTGAAGGCATAGTATAAGAACTCTGTAAAAATACCTTTTACAGTATATTATACACTAGTTTAGAGGGAAGCCATTATGATCTGTTTCATGTTAAAGCAGTGTAGTGCAAGATGAAGCTTGACAAAGTCTGGTGGAGAATAAGTCCCCCTTGTACTGTACACAGGTGAATCATCCTGTTTGTCTTCTTCTTATACCGAGGTGCAAAAGGCATTGCCTGGCTTTTCAATGTGAATATTTAAAAGAGATACAGTAACCGGTCTTCGCTCTATTGTTCTAAAGTGAAGCGAATACTGCCATGTCAGGAGTTCATGTATTCTACAAAGAGAGTTATATATATATATATATATATATATATATATATATATATATATATATATATATATATATATATATATATATATATATATGTGTGTGTGTGTGTGTGTGTGTGTGTGTTATACCGGTATGTATTCATTATTACCTACTTAAATATGTACTACATAAATTAGACTAATTATTACTGCAGAAGGTAATTATACATTCTATGAATGATACAAGTCACTTGTGCCCAGCGAGCACGCTCACACACACAGATACACACACATAAGCACAAACACACATAAACACATACAAACGCAAACACGCACACAAATACACACAGTCACACAAATAAATATGCATATAATGACAATCACACGAAAACACATACATACATACAGTACATATATACATAAATACATACATATATACATAGAGGCGAAAATACACACGAACACAAACGCTCGTAAGTATATAACATATTACACTTACGCTGGTTCTACCACACACTGTTCTGTTGTGGTGATGGTGGTGTTGATGGTGGTGTTGTTGATGGTGGTGGTGGTGTTGATGGTGGTGGTGGTGTTGATGGTGGTGGTGTTGATGGTGGTGGTGGTGTTGATGGTGGTGGTGTTGATGGTGGTGGTGTTGATGGTGGTGGTGTTGATGGTGGTGGTGTTGATGGTGTTTATGGTGTTGATGGTGTTGATGGTGGTGATGGTGTTGATGATGGTGGTGATGGTAGGTGATAGCGAGGTATACAAGGTGTCTTATGCGGTGGAAAATATCTATATATCGTTTTCCTAGTGAGGCCAAAAATAATAATCATAGTCTTATGAGAATCTTATCTCTTAACTGTACTTGATAGAAAGATAAATAGATAGACAGATAAAAAGGTAGATAGTGAGATGAATAAGTAGATCGGTAAACAAACATTTCTCCAGGTACAATGAAAGTTAAATAAAGTATCAAAGAACAGACCGACTACCTGAACGGCTAGTAAGCTGTCCTGAACGGCTAGTAAGCTGTCCAGAACGGCTAGTAAGCTGTTATAGTGGTCACATGATAAATAAAATATGAACTAAGCCGGTCAGTTGTGTCCTCTCAGTTACTGTGAACGTCTGGAAATGTGGAAGGTAGAAAGTCGTCGATGTTTAGTGCTAGGCTGACAGGAGGTGGCGACTTAAGGCTTTATATTTTTACATTCTTAGTCCCTTTTCTTTTCATTCTCCTAAATCTCTTGGAAAGTATTGTCTACTCTCTAAGAATTCCAGGAAAAAAAAGGTCTAGAATAAAATGGTAAAATAATCTCTGAAAATATCCGACACGGGTGAGGCTAGGGCGATAGAGGAGAGCGAAGATCGACTCCCTTATCCTCACAGCTCATAAAATTTGCAGACATTTTCCTTCCCCAGGGGTCCGCAATATAAGTGGGAGATACTAACTTTCGCGCCAAATATCTTCCCGCCATTTCTTTTTCCAGGTCGCGTTAATGTGAGTTTTTATACAATTAGGATGGTCTGGGGATTCAATTTAAGGCACTGATGGAAGTTTGGGGCAAATGGGAAACCGATTCTTGGGGCTAGAACTATTATTATCTCCGTCATTTTGCTGAAGAAGAACTGACCTTATGTGACACTAACATCAATAACACTTTTACTATATTTCTATAAATGTTGAAGAAGAATCGTGAATGAAACCAATGACGTGTAGTTTAAAATGTGTCTGTTATATGCATCAACTGTGAGAGAGAATCATACTATAATATCCGAGCCTTATTACAAGATAAAACTCTGACTTAGCTTGAGGAAACCAATATTTCACTAAACATCAATATATTGTTTTTGATGTGTGGGGGGGGAGGTATTGTGTGTGGGGTAATGTGTGGTGCCTGGTGGTGTGTGTGTGGGGGAGGTAATATGTGGTGCCTGTTGGTGTGTGTGGGGAGGTAATGTGTGGCGCCTGGTGGTGTGTGTGTGGGAGGTAATGTGTGGCTCCTGGTGGTGTGTGTGTGTGTGGGGGTGTGTGTGGCGCCTGGTGGTGTGTGTGTGTGGGAGGTGTGTGGTGCCTAGTGGTGTGTGTGTGTGTGTGGGAGTGTGTGTGGCGCCTGGTGTGTGTGTGTGGGAGGTAATGTGTGGTGCCTGGTGGTGTGTGTGGGAGGTAATGTGTGGCGCCTGGTGGTGTGTGTGTGGGGAGGTAATGTGTGGCTCCTGGTGTGTGTGTGTGTGTGGGAGGTAATGTGTGGCGCCTGGTGTGTGTGTGTGTGGGGGAGGTAATGTGGCGCCTGGTGTGTGTGTGTGGGAGGTGTGTGGTGCCTGGTGGTGTGTGTGTGGGGAGGTAATGTGGCTCCTGGTGTGTGTGTGTGTGTGGGAGGTAATGTGGCGCCTGGTGGTGTGTGTGTGGGGAGGTGTGTGGCGCCCTGTGTGTGGGGAGGGTGGGTGGTGTGTGTGTGGGGAGGTAATGTGTGGTGCCTGGTGGTGTGTG